AACGCTTATAAGCGCAATAAGAATCGGTCGATCGAGGGTGCGCGGCGGTTGCGTTGCTCCGCCGCAGTCTACCGTTTCGCCTGGGATTCCGTACTCATCTTTCCGGCACATCTACTGACGATTTCTGAAAACTCTAACACAATCTAAAGAAAGAAAGCAATCAAAGTCGGAGGAAAAAAGTGCGGAAAGGCTGGTAGAGCCAAATTGTGCCAAATCGGTACTCACCAGGGGCCGCAACGCAACCGCCGCGCACCCTCGATCGGCCGATTCTTATTGCGCTTATAAGCGTTATAAAAGTCGGCCGATCTGAATCGGCCGATCCTTATGAAGTATGGAGATACCCTAACAGGGTGTGCGGGCGGCCGCGGCGCGACTGCGGTTTGAAGAGATGCGGAGGCCATTCGATAACAGACTGAGAAAATGGGTTCCCATGTTGGAAAGATAGATACTGAGATATTACATTCACGAAGAGTATTACGTTTTTTGTGTGATCTAAACCAGAGTGTTATGTATAAAGAGCATATCCAATAGACGTAGCAACTCAAAGGTTCGAGAAGTTTTTTACTCAAAATCATTTTTTTCTAAATTTTCGCCTAGAAATGAACATGCTTTAAATAGGAATTTCTGGGAGTGAAGTGTTTTTGTTGCATTTGTGGTGTTCTTAACAAACTTCTGAAGATATTTCAAAGCATATCCAAAAGCACCCGTTTTACAGACTTCTCTATCCTAGATTATACCAAAAGAAGTCTGAATGTGTGAGTACTAATTTCAGAATGAGAATAAATACTGACAAAAAGCTGATCTTATATATTTCGCATAGCTATAGTTGGAAATTTAAGAAAATCAGTGCTCAGAACCATGTTGACCCAAATACCAATCAGAGGAGGAGGCCTGATGAAGTTCTATTCGATTACATGAGTAAGAGGAAGTGAAAACTCTTCTTAAGTATATTAGTACTATTCACACATCTCCTTCAAGATGACAATAGTACTTGACTTTATTCATTAGGTGGGAGTATTGAATACTAGCTTCTGACATTAACATGTACGACAACGCATACTTCT